CCAGCGCCGCCTCGGGTCCGTCCGCAGGAGCCTGAAGTGGACCCTGGGCCAGGCCTTGCGCGCTTGTTCCCTCAGGTCCTGGCTCTTGGCCCACAGGTCGAACCAGGCTCTGAGCTGGCTCCTCGCCATGGCGACCGCTGGGTCGACCCCCTCCAGCGCCAGGAAGGTGGTGAGGCATCGCCCAGGCCACGCTCTCCTCAGAGCCTGCGCATACCTCCTTCTGGCGAGCCTGAGGGCCCACGGAGGGAGCCCGTGAGCGGCCACTCCGTACACCAGCGAGGCTGATGCGCCTTGGTGTGCCACTCCACGCCTCCTCTTCAGCTTCAGCTTGCGCAGCTTGAAGCCGACCGATCCGAACCTCTTGTGCGCATCATTGGCCTTCTTCGCATGCGTGGGCCTCCTGGTGGTGCCTCTCGCAGCGCGGTCAGCTCCGAGGTCTCTGCCCTCTGTGACCGCCTTGACCTTTATCCCAAGCTGGTTGAGCCTGGACTGCACCTGGAGCGTGGCGCCGAAGTCCGAGGTGAAGATCAGCGTCTTGTCTGCCAGGCTGAGCCCGTGCTGCTCCAGCCCCCACTTTAGCTTGCTCGTGACCGTCGTGAGCTGCTCCGTGACCGCCTCCTTGCTTCCGACGACCTTGATGCTGATGTCGTCGAACCAGGCTCGCGGCATCGGCTTGGGCAGCGTCGATGCGACGTCCATCATGTGGCTGAGCACCGCGTAGACCACCGTCTTGGCCACGTTATTGGAGTGTCTCGAACCCGCCAGGATCGATCTGTCGGCCAGCATCGGCTCCGAGTACGAGTTCTTGCACCTCAGGATTCGGGCTCCTGAGTGCTGCAGAAGCAGCGTGGTGAGGAGCCTCGGGCAGAAGTTCAGCTTGCGCGCCTCTGGGATGAGGGTGTCGATGCGCAGGCTGTCGTAGAACTTCTCGATGTCTGCCAGCGTGCATCCCTGGAAGATGCCTAGCGCGTCGCAGCACTCGTCCGAGAGGATACGCCTGAGCGCCTCCCTCTTGCAGCTGTTACCTGCCACCGCCGCGTCCCACTCGCGCGCTGCTTTGCCCACTCCCTCACCGCGGGCCTGTGGAGGAGCTCCCAGCAGCGCACCAGCTGCGGGAGCATGGCCAGCGCGCGGTCGCCCTTGGCTGGCTTGGGGATGATCATGACCAGCGCGTTCAGGAGCTGCCGGGGCCACATCAGCTTCAGCTCGCACTCGTTGAACAGGTCTACGATGGCTTGTCGCCCCGCCGTCGGAAGCCGACGGATGTCGCTACATCAGAGCTTGTCTACTCCCTGGCCCCTGTCGGGCTCCCCCGCGAGGGCGAGGTCCAGGTCGTCGACAGTCCACTGTGGCGCGTCCACGGCTGCCGCTCGCCTCCTGAGGTCCCCGAGCAGCTGCGTGTGCGTGCCGTGGGCGACCTCCTCGCACCTCCAGATCTTCGCGAATGCCTCAGCCTTGGCGTCCACGATCTCCATCGGGCTATCCGTCACGCCCGTCTCCATTGCCAGCTCCTCCTCGCGTCTGATGGGTGGTTAGGTGATCCTGTGGAGTACGCCTGGCTGCTTCTCTGTAGCGGCTAGCCACCGCCCAAAGCTCCGCGTGCTCTCCCTCAGGTCCCTGTTCACAGCAGCTCTCCTCTCCTGCTCGGCCTGCATGGCCATGCCCTCGACGATAGCCACGTCGAGGTCCTCCAGCGCCGCAAGCATCTGCCTCCAGATGCTGCGGTGCAGGCGTGCCGTCTCCGAGGCCCCGCGGCCTGCCTGGGGCATGCCGTCGTAGGCCAGCTCTCGTCCTGCACGAGCGGGCTCCCGCTGCTGCTTCGTGCCTCTGCCTCTCCTCCTCAGCTTGGCCATCATGGTGAGCAGGACCTCGGCTCTGGCCCACCAGTCGGCGCTGTGCTCGCTGTACTTTAGCTTCCTCTCGCCGCACTCCCTGGAGTTGGTGACCTTAAGCTCGTACGCCTTGCCACGGCCCATGAAGTGGTGCCTATCCACAGGGTCGATTCGGTAGGCCATGCAATAGAACCTCTCCATCGTGCCGATGGTGTTCGCGAAGCGGTCCCCGAGCTCCTTCGCCGCCTCCGCGTCCACCTGGTAGGCCGCGCAACTGCTGATGTAGGATGGGATCTCGGAGGACTCGCTCTGCTCCTGGTCCTGCAGGGCCTGCGCGGTCTCCCAAACGTGGCCCATGGTGGTGGTGTCCACTCCATCAGCTGCCGCTCGGATTCTTCTCCTCAAGTCATCCCCGTTGCATCTGCTTTCTGGCTCGGGCGAGGTCCCCCGACTTTGCCTCTCGCTGTGTTCGCGGCTCTCGTGGTATCCGCGGGCTGAGCCCTCCCCCTCGCGTTCAGTCTGTCGGTTCCCCAGGGTATGAGGCCGCTCTGTTAGTTGCGAGGTCCTGTCTACCACAGTGTTGGTCACATAGTCCGCGTCATGCCCTCTGGGCTCGTCAGGGACCTCCGCCTCGAAGCCTTCTGGAATTTGCAGTAGCAGCTCCTCTTCGAAGTGATCCTCGAGATCTGCGAAGGGGTCCGCGTCCGCATCTGTCCATCCTGGTCTCGCTCGCATCCACGTCGAACCTGGGAGGCCGTCCCCAAGGTTCTCATCTGACTCCTTTCCGCCAATCCTTTCACGAACTGCACCCTCGGCGCCTGGGTTGGTCCCCGCGGGGAAGCCCGTCCAGCCCGCCTCGACTGGCGCCAGCGCCTCCCACCGTGCGTTGTCCAGCGCCAGCTCGAAGTCCTGTGGAGGTGGGCGCTGCTCAAGCTCCTCCTGGCCTCCTCCTCCAGCCGCTGCTGCCCGCGCCTGCGCTGCTGCCTCCTCCCTCACTCTCCTCCTCGTCCTCTTGCTGCCTGGGCATGGCTGCTTCTTGGGTCGGGGAGGGTGAGGGAAGGGCTGAGGCATGCGCAGCGAGCGGGTCCTCGTCTCCTGCGCCTCGGCGTAGAGCGTGAACTTCAGCCCGATGTGCGGCTTCCACGGCACGTCGTAGACCGCCTCCACGCCCTTGATCAGCTTCTGCCCTTGCTCGTTCACCAGGGCGTAGTCTATCATCGACCCGTGCTCTCCCATCTGGCAGGTGAAGTCGCCGTCTGGCAGCGAGACGATGGCTGTCGCCCCCATAGCTGATGGCCAGCCCGAGTCCCACATCTCTGTCGGTGCCTTGTTGAAGTCGCCGCAGACGATCCATGCGCCGCTCAGCCCCTTCAAGAACGCGGCTAGGGCGGTCAGCTTGCGGGCGTTGATGCCCTCGTGCAGCGCCTTGCCAACGTCCAGGTAGAGGCTGATCGCCGTGATTGTCGTCCCCTTCAAGTGCCACGTGACTGGTGTCCAGTCGCACAGGTCCAGGTCGGCCTTCCACTCCCCACTCACGTCGGCCGTCGCCTTCGTGACTGTGGACTGCCTGGCCTGGCACCGAAAAGTCGAGGTCCGCAGATGTCCCCTCATGACAACCGCTGTCCCTCCGCATGTACCCCTCTCTGAGCGTGAGCTGGGTCTCGCCGCCGTGAAGCACGCCTTGTAACCCAACTTCACAAGTTCGCACTCCACGGAATCTAAATTTGAGCGGCCTGCGTGCGTCTCCTGGAACGCGTAGGCGTCGTATCCCTGGCCAATCTTCTGCTTGGCCATCCACAGCCTGGCTGTGGGTCCCCAGCTGGTGAGGTTCGCGCAGAACAGTGTGCGCTCGCGGGGCTCGGCGGCGCCGCCTCCTCTGCGCCGAGCTCCGCGCGCCTGTCCTCAGGCCGCGGCTGCCCCCGCTGGGCTGCCTGCTCCTGTGTGCTCCCTCAGCTGTCTGAGGTACTCCTCTGCCTCTGCGTCTCCTCCTCCCGCAGCCGGTGGCGTCCCAGCCGTTGGTGCCGAGGCCTCCGTGGGGGAAGCTGCTGGCTGTTGGGGCTCGGCAGCTGTTGTCGCTTGCTGCGCGGGCTCCGCTGCGCCTCCTCCCTCGGCCTTCCTCTTCTTCGCCGCCTGGTGGATCGTGGCCTGCTGCTCCGCCGCCTTCAGCTTCGCCGCCGCCAGGTGCTCCTTCAGCTGCGTCGAGAAGGCCTGGGCGTTCTCCTTCATCTGGGCCACGACTGTTTTCTTCACCTCCTCCACTTGCTTGCGTCCCTCCTCGTCCAGGTCGGCGGCGGTCAGGTTCAGCTCTCGCTCTATGTCCGCTGCGAGTTGGCCCGCCGCCAGCTCCTCCACCTGGCCGCTGATCAGCTGCTCCAGGACGCCTTTCGGAGGGTCGCGTCCCTCCGCCTGGATGTCCTCGAGCTCCTTCTCCGCCTTGAGCACCGCCGCCGCCTTCACGTCTAGCTTGGTCCTCGCCTCCTGAGCGGCTGCGTCTGCCCGCTTCTTGGCCGCGAACGCCGACGAGTACGCCTGGTTGGCCTCCTGCAGTGCCTTGGCCGCGATGCCTAGCCTCTGCGCCCTTGACTTGGGCGGAGGCTCTGGCACCGCGGCCTTGATCGCTGCTGCCGCGCCCTGCAGGGTCCTCGAGATGGCCTCGCCGTTGGACAAGTTCAGGTCGCCCAGCGTGTCCGTGAGCAGCTTCAGGGCCTGCGAGACCTTGTCCGCGCCCTTCGGCGTGCTCTTGGTGCTGCTGTGCTGCTGCAGCGGCCCCTTGCCGCTGTTGGCGCTTGTGCTGCTGCTGCCGCCGCTGACTCCCCAGTCCGCCTTCGGCGACTTGGGCTTCGGCAGGGCGGCTTTGCACTTGCACTGGTAGTGCATCGCCTCCAGGCGCGTGCTCCACCACCACTCGCCACAGGCCTTGCACACCACGTAGGCCTTGTCGGAACCCGCCTTGGCCCCGCCCTTGACCATCTTCGGCGCCTGGCTGCCGTGGTGCGCGTCCAGGCGCTGTGTGTCCTGCAGCTGCCTCAGCCGCCTCCTCGCTCCAGCCCGCAGGCGCCGCTCCCTGCGGTGCCAGGCTGGCGAGCGGGAGCGCGCTGCAGCAGCGCGGGGTCGCCCCTCCGTGGGGCTGGGGGCTATCGCTCGGCGGGCGCCCGCGCCGAGGGCAAAATGCCTGCGGGGCCCGCGCGAGAGCCACCTGGAGGAGGAGGAGGAGGAGGAGGAGGAGGAGGAGGAGGAGGAGGAGGAGGAGGAAGGAGGAGGAGAGGAGGAGGGGAGGAGGGAAGGAGGAAAAGGGAGAAAAGGGAGGGGGGGGGAAGGAGGAGGAGGGATGGAGGAGGAGGAGGAGGAGGAGGAAAAGGTAGTGAAAGGGGGGGAGGGAGGCGAGGCGATGGAGTGGGGTGAGAGGGGCTGAAGTTCGTTAAGGCTGCGTGGTGTGTCCGGGTCGGAGGCTTCTTGAGGGGGAGAGGAGGAGGAGGGGGGGGGGGAATTGTGATGGCGGCCAGGAAGGCGGATTCCAATTCAGACGAGCCCGCCGTCGGAGGACCCAGACTCGCTGTCTGATCCGTCCACGGCCCAACGCTGCCCGAGTTCCTTCGCCCTCGGCAGCTCAGACTCCAGGATCCCAAAGGCCGCAAGGACGAATGCTTGCGAGGGCAGTCCTGGACAGAAACCATCAGCAGCAGTCGAGCCCGAGCTCGCCGCCGCTGCTTCACATGAATCCACTAATCCCTCGATCTCGACCTGTTCCTGAGAGCTCAACGGGCCAGAAGGACCGAGCACGAGGGATTTCGTGGTGGCACGGTAGTGTGGGTGCTTTCCAGCTCGGATACGATTCAGCTGGGACCTGATCCCTGGGCTAGCGGGCTTCCCGAGACACAGCTCTAGGAGGGCACGGCCCAGACGCCCCGAGGTATAGCCCCCACACCGAAAACAGAACACCACTTGGTTGCCTACTCTTGAAGGCGTCTCGATCAAGCATCGGACGAGCGCATGCCGCCTGAAGTAGAACGCATAACGGGCCTCGTCGGCCCAGCACAGATCAACTCCTTCCTCCGCTCCGGCGACACTGGACGACAAGACGTCCTCCTCCTCCTCCTCAGCGGGGTCGGGCGGGGACTCCGCTGGCAGGTCCTGGTCGTGCTGCTGCAGCCCGACCGTGCCCTGCCTGCTCTGGCCGCTGGTGGCCATCAAAACCTCCAGCCTACCCGCCCACCTCCCCTGCTCAGCCACAAGGGCCTTGAATCCTCTAAACAGTTCAGCATGGGAGTCGTCCGCTCCATGCATCTTTGCACCTAGCTTGGCATACTGATCAGCACTAGAATTGGCCTCTTTCTCCCAGACTGAAGCTCGACCAGCTTCACCGCCCTTGCTGGTGGCGCGGGCCAGGGTCTCATGGGCCTGGATGTCGCACTCCTCGAAGGCAGCCCCAAACGGGCTCCACATATGGCCCCTCGGGGACCTGGCTTCCGCCCCAGACCCTGGACCTCCGACCAAAACATCTAGAGTGGCCTTGCGATCCAGACAGACTTGCGTGAGCATGCGAATCGCGAAATCCTCGCCATCCTTGGCCGTTTGGCGTAGGCCGGAACTGAGCGGCACTGGGCTGTAAGCAGCATGCAGCACGTTTCCCTGGCGATCCACTTGCACAAGAGCCCAGCCTGCTCTGCAAACTCCTGGAAGAGATGGCCACAAGGCCGAACCGTCACTGAAGATGCAACCCGCGAGGAACCCACTGGCAGGCCTGCTCACCCACCTGATCGTGGCATCAGGTTCCTCTCGAGGGACAAGGGCCAGGGGACTGGGCATCGCGCGCCTCGCGAACCGCTCGCCCACGCCCCCCCCCCGCTATCCAAGGCGCGACGGGCGCGAGCAGCGAGCCAAGGGGCGACCGCGTCCCTTCTGACGCTGCTGTGCGCAATACAACCGTACTGCCTATGCCGCAGCGCCCCCCTGGCCTCTTTGCAAAGTTGGCAGACGTCGGAGCTGTGCAGCCCGTGGCCACGCACTCGGGCCTGCGGCCAGTGCACATTGCACACAGGCGAGCGAAGCGCACGCTGGTGGTGGGCCGTCCAGAGTTTGGTTTTACTCCTGAGGAGCGGCCCCAGGCCAGCCCAACAAATCGGAAACGCACCACCGAGCCCTCGAGGGCCTTCGCTCCCGAGGCGCCCAAGGCTCTCCAAAGCGAGCCTGTCTGAGGCTCTGGAGGCTCCTTCGCGCACAAGTTCCCTGATCTTACTTGGCGAAAGCTGGCGAAGGTTCCAAACCGAACCTGAATCATCAGGAGCCGAGTGCTCGTTAAAAACCTCCAGCCGGCCCTGCCCAGGGAAAGGAAAGCCGCATCAGCGGGCGACGATGCCGCCCTCCAAGGGTGACGGTAGCGAGCCAGTTTTTCGATAGCCGCGTCCATCGCCGCCCCCAGGAGCAGCCTCGAAAGAAAACTGTCCCAGATCGCAGTGGCCCGTTGAAACGCCACGTGCCCCGCGTAGGCTACTATAGGGTCACGCAACACACCCATTCTGAAAGAATGGAGCCTGAGGCCCAGACTAGAGCCTTGGGAAGGCGCCCAATGCTCCGAACCGCCGAAACACGGATACCATGCATTACAGACGGGGGGGGCCCCATCACACTGCTACCCCATAGGACCACGGCAGTGGCCCCGACTCTTTGGATGAGGCCGACCTCCGCCTCAGCGTCACGTAGAATCTGGAGCCTGCGAGCCCTAGATTTAGTTGGCATTGGCAAATCTACTCCTGGCGATCCCCACTCTGCGATAGGTACCTGACGCAGCGCCCGCGCCCAGATTCCGAGCCGCGTCCACACGCGGCGAGGATGGGATACGCCATTGCCCCTGGATGAGCTGTTGCATTTCGGCGCTACAGATATACTTAGTCTTTTTCACGGCGAAGGGAATATTGAGGCGATCGAAGTCCCTGAGCAGCGATTCCACTCCCGAGCTGAGAACCGACGCAACCTGGATACTTTTGCCGCGCGCCTGCAACGTTATGTCATCCACCACGTTCCTGATCTAGAGCTGCGGCCCCCCTTCTTCGGCCTGCAGAAAGGGGCCCCATCAAGGGCAACTTAGCCAAGCTCGTCGCCCCGCTGCAGCCAACTATGACCGAGCCGTTCGCGCGCGCGATGCTGGAGACCGCGCCGCCGTGCAGCAACGTGCGGGGGCATGCGTATACCGCGCGCAGGCAGCGCAACAGCCGAGCGGGAAATTCAAATCTTATCGCCGCCTGGTACAGATCCTCGCGACCAATGTGTTCGTAGAACTTTGACAGATCTACTAAAGCAGTTCCTGATTCGAACCCTACACTTCTACAGTGGCTGCCCAGGAGGTTTTGTGTCCACCCCGCCCGCTCGCGCGTGGTAGTGCTGCTAACTCCCCGGCACGCATCTTCCATATGTGCCTGCTCCCACTTTTTCAACAGCGGCTGACGGACCCTGGATCATACCTTCGCGGATAACGCCCAAAGCCCGATCGGGCGAACACCCCCATCACTCTTACCGATGAACACGATATTGGTCATGAATAGCAGGAGGTCTTGCGGGGCCCTCTCAAAATGATGCATCACGTCGGCTAACCGAGCTGCAGATTCACCACGAAGGTCTAGTACCCAGCGCGGGTGGAACCCATCCCATCCCAAACCACACTTTCTGGCAAACCTTTTGCAAACCCTTCGAAGCTGGTCGACCGAGATCGGCGGCAACTCAAGCTCCTCGGGCGGGATCGCCCGCGACGACGGGCGCTGGGCCCCACGGCCCGCTGCGATCCAGAGCGGCGTCCAGGCCCGCAGAAGAAAACTGCGGGCCTCTTGCCCGCAAACAGGGTGGCCTGCTTCATTCAGCAAAGACGTCGGGCTTGACAGGGTCCGATTCGAAAATGCACGAGCTGCGTTGCCTCCTCCTTTGACAGGCCCCCCGCCGCCCATGCCTTCCACTCCTTCAAGCTCTCCTGAGCGTCCTGCTTCCTCATCCTGCTGACCTCCTCGTCAATCTCCCCCAGCACCTCCGAATCACCCTGGAGCTTTCCCTCTGAGGCGTCCCTGGCGAGCTCCGCGAGCACCGAGGCAGAGAGAACGCCCTCGACGGGCTGCGTGCAATCCATCATGCGCTCCAGCTCGACACGCCAACTGAAAAGAAACTGGCGGCCCCGACGGCCAACTGCACCTGCGGCAGATTGACGGCAGCGCTGAAGCAGGGCCTGAAACGCAACCCAAGCTGTGGTGGACATGGAAACCTTCGTCCCTGGTCCGTGTCCCACAGGGCCCCAATCGGAACTTTCTGCATCCTTGGCCCTCGGGCCCTGCCCGTATAGCACTTGGTGTCCGACTCTTCTATCTCATGAATGTGAACGAGCCTAGCTTCTGAAAGCGTAAACCACCTCTTACACATCTCCTCCGGGGGAAGTTCAATGTTGTCGGTGCCCAAGTCCCAGCCCCAATCGAGATCTCCTGGAGGCTCCTGCTGTGGTCCATAGAGGTCGTGCTCAAATCCCTTAAGCCTCACTTGCCTATAGATCACCGCCATGTGGGAGAGGCCCTCGAGCTCCATGAAGACAGGGCTGCGGGGGAATAGCGGGGCATCTACAAAGACCTGGAGGCCCTTGACCCTAGACATAAGGCACTCCGCCACCACGAAGTAGTCCCATACGCGACCCCCACCTCCTGGGATCTCAAACTCTTCCATGCCCAAGACCTTGCCCTCTAAAGCGGCCTGGGGGACTTCGTCCGCGGTCAGATTTTTCAATGAAAAAGCTCCTGCACACGTCGGCACCGTCGGCGAAACAACTTCTCCCCGCACTGTCTGAAGCCAACCTGAAGCAATCAGGTCCGACGGCAAAAAGTTGAAATCCCCCTGGACGATCCAGGGCAGCGGCTGACTGAGGAGAAACTCGCCAAGCAATTCAAGCAACGTCAGATTGGGTCCCGTCAGGTCGATACCCGTGATGAAGTAGGCCGAGACAATCAACATTCCTTCGGGGAAGCCGACACTCGCCTTTCGAATCACAAACCGACTCTTGCAACCATTCGAACCGAACCTATCGACTGCTGCACCGCCACTGCCACTCCCGACGAACTCTGAGTAGGGCCACGGCCAGTGCTGTGAGCCATCCCATGAGCAACATGCCACCCGCGCCGAGTACACCAGCGAGTTGCTGAGATAACATCGACGGGGTTCTTCAGCCTAGTCTCCTGCACACTGAGCACATGTGGGACC